AATGCTGCCTTGCCACCTTGGCTCTCCAACTGCTTTTTGATTTCATTAGGGTCTTCACCGTCAAGGAAGAAATCAGGAAGTAATGTGCTGCCTACAAAAAAGATATGCCCAAAATAAAAAGCCTGAATAATGATAAATGTATGCATATTCATAATTCAAATTTTCAATAAAATGGACTTTTTAAAAAAAGCAAACACAATGCAAATTAAGGGTATGAAAGTCTTACCAGGAACACAAGAGTAGGGATCAAGGTCAGTAACTCCTGCATTTCTCAGCACCTCGTCATCAATGGCAAAGTGTCCTGTGTATTCAGAGCTTTTCTTGGTTAGGATGACGTAAGCTGCATCACTCATGATCTCAGGTTTTCTGCATTGATCTGCCACCCCGGATCCTCCCCCCAGCATCTCCATGGCAGCAGTATAAATAGCTGTAATATAAAGATTTTAGAATTTCTTTGTTTTTGTTTGATAAATTATATAAATTTACTAGTTGAATTTTTTACCAAATTAAAATGGATGAGTAAAATAAAATTCAAAAAATCTATAATTTGTTCTTAAAGGAGGGTAGGAGCAGCCTATAAAAGTACATTTAAACAGCTGAGCTTATTCTGATAATACAAGCATGCCAGCAATTTCAAGTTTGTCAAACGACTTGCAACAATAAATTCTAGCAATGCTTTACCATTAGAGGTGTATACTGGTATATCTAATAGAAAATGACAAATGTAAAATGCTAGCATCAATCACTATTTCATGTCTAAAGATTACCTGTACGTGGCCAAAGAGCATTGACTGCTATAGAAAGTGGTTTAAATTCTTCAGCCATTCCTAGGACACACATGGACATACCATATTTGGCCATTGTGTATGCTAAAAAAATGGTAAAATACAAGTATATGCATTTCCATATCATTCAAATATTTATACAAAAACATGAAAATAAAGTTCCAAGATCTTGTTCTATTCTGCTTCTTTGAAACTTAATGTACTGTAAAATCACAAATTTTCGTTGGGGGTTTGATTTTAGTTGTTTTCGATGTCAGAAGAGACCCATAAACTCATGTCCACCACGAAATGAATTCTAAATACACAACAACTCAACAATTCTTCATCCATGAATTCAAATCTCCACGAAGCAAGAGTTTTTACTTAAACCACAAAAAGTTGACCCCACGAAAATATGTGATTTTACAGTATATAAATAAAATTAATCAAATAAATAAAAATTGGTTTACCCACCTACATGGTCCTTGAACCAGCGTGGGTTCATGTTGAGTGGAGGGCTAATGTTGAGGATATGTGGATTGCTAGACTTCTGTAGATAGGGCAGGGCAAACTTAGAACTGCAAGGAAGATAAATCAACCAAGTAATTTTCAAGTTCAAAGTAAATAAATTTGTTTTTTTAAATCAGGATTTTATTCACAATTAATTTGTTAATATGCACAAGTATATTATAGTTTATTTCCACAAAAAAGAGACGAAACTGTGAAAAAAAAAATCTGTCAGAACATAAGTATTTACAGTACACTAAGTCACTACAATGAAGGCAAAAGCTCCTGACAATCTGACAAAGAGGTTACAAAAAATGCTAAAAACAAATCCATGAAACCTTACATCAGTAACTCACCACATGTAGGTCCCTCTTGCATTGATGCCATTCATGAGGTCGTATCTCTTGGGGTCGGTGGCAGCGGTTCCCGTCAGACTAATGGCACTGGCGTTATTGACCAGGATGTCTATCCCCCCAAACTTATCTGCAGCTTCCTTCATGGCTGACTGAATGTCATTTTCATTCCTGATGTCCACAGCACATGGTAAGCACTTTCCTCCAGCATCTTCCACTATTAATCATTAATCAATTAACTGGTAATCATAAATCACCAAATACAGTCCAAGTTTAGCTTGTGAAACATGCTCTAAACATTCAAATATCGGTAGCAATACAGTATCTATCCATTTTTCATGATTTTACTTTGGCATCCTAAATTTAAGTACAAAATAGGATGAAATATTTCATATAGTATAATAATGTAAAATCAAAATGTGCATTCTAGCGGTATATACACATAAAATTGATATAAGTTTATTTACATTAATTCAGACACAAATATGATTACAAAACCCGAAACAATACATAGTACATTTGTGACAATTCAACCTAATATCATAATGATCATGATAAAAATCAGTGCTATATCTGATATCCACCTTCTTTAGCGGCTGTGTAGATGGTCCCTGGGAGTTTGGGGTGAGGTTTGGTGGTCTTGGCTACGATAACAATGTTGGCGCCATCTTGTGCTGCCTTCAGAGCAATGGCCTTCCCTATACCTCTGCTAGCTCCCGTAATGAAGAGAGTCTTTCCAGCCAACAACCTTAAAAGGTTAATACATGTATACATGTAAAATTTTTTTTGATATGATAGACACACTGTGTGTAACCTCTGACATACACTTTGAGTAAATTAATACTTGAAATCAGTTTGAAGATGAAATTCATTTAAAATAAAGCATTTTAAAATGTACAGTGAAGGGAACAGTACTATCGGAATGTGGATACTGGCTAATGTGTAAACAGTTCTAAATTCTGAGTGAATCTCACCATTCCATACATATGACAAGAAATTATAAAATCTTTTTACATAGATCTAAGAGGAAGCAAATAGCATCTTTGACTTAAATATTTTAATTAAATTCAATTATGTGCACAAGGTTTACCAATGTGTTTACCGGTAAGTGAATCAATAATTACCGACTGATGCAAACTTTTAAGATAGCAATCTTATTTTTGACCTTTGGCCTCTATCATGTATCTTAAGTCTGACCTAATCCCATCTTCGCTAGACAAGTGTCTGATTCATTTCCCTAGGAAAACATTTGACCAAGGGAAACGAATCAGACACTTGACTAGCGAAGATGACCTTAACCTAACAAGTCTGGAATTGGTGTACTTAGCATTCATCAATATGAAAGTCTTGATCATAAAAAAGTCTAAAGCAGTAAAGTTCGTAACCAAGATTTTAAGTTGGGGACAAACAGGACTGTACCTAAGTTCTTGGAACTTATGACCAATTCAATAGATGTAATGGCAGTAAGATATTTTCAAAACAGATCAAACGTTACTTATGCCCCAAACTTCAATTAAATTGTCTAAAAATTCAAAGAAAACTAAAATTTTCTGGAAAAAAGATTTTTCCCACCAGCCTACTGACCTTAACATTTTACCTTAAGTTGGGAAATGGCAAGCAAACAATATTTTAAAATTGGCCTGGGTCTACAATTTGTTTTCTATCTATTAAGCATAAATGCATTTTATGCTTACCTGAGCCAAAGGCTCAAGTGACTTTTTTAATTGTCAAATATATAATAATATGTCCCATATAAAAGAGATCTTTTTGAACATTGACTTTGCATTTTAAACTGGCTGGGGCACAGGTAAAAAAGGATAATTAGAAAACTACATTACCCTTTGTTTGGTATCCTGTAAAATAATCCAGGCAGCAATTTATAATATCAGGTTTATTCAAATACTATTATACCTTACATTACGCTAAAAACTACTGGTAACTTTGATAAATAACAGAAGCTTAATTCCCTTTTTACTGCATCCAGTATTTCTTGCATTAATTCAATTTTCATGAAATATTCTAATTCTGTTATATTTTGCTTCTAACAAACTATGAAAAAAAAAACTATTATATTTACATTAAACGGAGTAAAACAATGTAAAAAGTGTTAAAATATGGTATAAATATAAGTCAATTAGATTAAGCCTCTTAATTTGCGTATGCCAGCAATACATTTCTTTGATTAATTTCATTTACTTTGGACCCATTTTTTATTTGAAGCTGCATGTATTTAAGATTATTATACATCATCAGAACCCAGGGATTTTTATCTCTGTTATTGAACTCATGATTGTGCTATATCTAATCAGTGATAAGAAACTTGGTAATTTTTAACAATTTGTAACAGGAGAGGAAAAATGCAATGGACCAGACTTGGATTCAAAACCAGGCCCCCTGAATCCTGATCCAGTCAGGTGCTCTACCAGTTTAAATAGTCCTATCTGCAATCCATACTGTCTGACTGCCACATTCCACCTTCCTAATAAGTTAAAGGTCTTTGGCCCCCAAATACACTAACCTAGGCTCTTCTCCATATAGGCCTTTTACTTGTCATATCCAGGGCATGACACAGCACCAAATGTATCCAGAGAGGTGGAAAATGTGACTGACCAGACCGGGATTTGAACCAAGGCCTCCTCAATCTCCAATCAAGTTCACTACCAACAGAGATATCTAGCCACAGGCAATCAAACCTGTCTGACTGCCACAATTGTTTTAACATTTTATTCACGTTAAGAGTACTTTGCAGAAATATTGGATTAAAATGGACCTGTGTCAGTGATACAGGAGAAGAATTAAAAAAAATACATATACAGACGACAATGAAGAAGACTAATGGACGCAAAGTTCACTTATGCCTTTGGCTCATAAAAGCTTAATTACACTAGATCTATGCAAAGTTTGTCTTTTTTATTTCAAGCGTTTGCAGTGAAAAATCACAGAAAGGCCTGAGGGAAAACTGAGATAATTCGAGCTGTAAGAAGGCATCGTGCGGGGAGTGCTTTATTGATAATTTATATACAATATCTATAAATGTCATTCACAATCAAAGATATATGTAAACGTTACCCTGAATTTGCAGCCATTCTGGAATTTGCTGTGTTTGCAGGTGTTTTACTTGTCTTGTCCCCCGAATCTTTGGACTTTGACACCTTTCAGTGCCGGTTGCTGACCCGCTTAAATTTAAGAAGAGAAATTATACAAAACGAATAAATATTTCATATTTCTTTTAAAGAGTAAAATCGGATTTAAAGAAAAGTAATCAATTCTTTCATAAAACATAAAATACAGAGTTTAACTAAATATCAAAAAATGAAATTTGATGAACCCAACATAAAAAATACATAATTATGTTGAGTGGCATTTTTGAATTCTTAAAAAAAAAACATTCAATGATGTTGACAGTTTTTAGATATTTTGATATCTAGGACGTCAGGTAACACTGTAGAGTAAGACGTATAATTTATACCAATTGATATTGTGCAAGTATTTTGTGAAATAAAAAAATATATATATTTCCTCTGTAAACATGGTAAATGTGGATAAAACATGCAATTTTTTTTGGCTTGTAAACTTGCAAACTTCTACCCATGATTGCATGCATGATACTGGGATACTGTAACTGTATGTTAGCCATGTACATTATAATCTGGTTATAATAGTATAAACACGGACCTATTACATAGTGTATACCACCATAATATGAATATGTATTAATTTTTGCGGAGGAAGAATGGTTCAACCCTTGTATAGATCTCGATGACTAATTGTCCCTTTACTTTACTTTAGTCAGGGTACCTGTAAAGTGCGAAACGAAATAGAAACGAAACGAAACGAAATCTGCCGAAACGAAACGAAATCTACCGAAATCTACCGAAACGAAACCTACCGAAACGAAACGAAATCACGACGAAACGAAACGAAACCTGCCGAAACGAAACGAAACAAAACTATGAAAATGTTTGGGGTTTTTTTCAAATCAAGGTACACGTATATAATTATATATGTGTAACTGCATGTGAACTTTTTTTTTTACTCAAATAAAATTTATATACACATGTATATATATATATATATAGTTCAAGCACTTGTTAATATAAAATTTTTAGATTATTGATAAATTATGCTCCCTTCTCAGTCTAATGATGTATTTACATGTTTACCAGCTGCAAATATGCACGAGCGTACTATGCATGTATAATTTCAATATGTGCAGTATTTTTTAATTTTTATATCTTACTCTTATTTTCAGTCCTTATTTATCTAGATACAATATATCTATCAAAATTGATGTTGTTATATGTAAAGGCTCGTTTATGTACGGGTCGAAATAAAGTCACTGTACTGTTGTATTGCGAATGTCTTAAAACATAGGATAAACCAGCGACTTAGAGTATTTAGTAATCCATTCCGAGGTGTCTGGTTTTATTGTTCAGTTATACATGTAACTACAACCGGAATCTTGTGTATCCTTTCTACGTACATACAGTCCTATTTTTATCGAGGTAATTTTCGAAAAAGAAATGAGTGGTTTGCAATAAAATACATCATTAGACTGAGAAGGGAGCACAATTTATCAATGATCTAAAATTTTATATTAACAAGTGCTTGAACTATATATATATATATACATGTGTATATAAATTTTATTTGATTAAAAAAAAAAGTTCACATGCAGGTACACATATATAATTATATACGTGTACCTTGATTTGAAAAAAAAACCCAAACATTTTTATAGTTTTGTTTCGTTTCGTTTCGTCGTGATTTCGTTTCGTTTCGGTAGGTTTCGTTTCGTTTCGGTAGATTTCGTTTCGTTTCGGCAGATTTCGTTTCGTTTTGTTTCTATTTCGTTTCGCACTTTACATGTACCCCTTTAGTCAGGTGCTCTTTCAACTACTACTAGTAATCTAACAGACCACCTGCAATTGCACCTGCATCATATCCACATTTCTCCCCCTTTAAAAGTCTTTACTCTCCAAAGAAATTCAGGCTCGGATCCAAGAAATGAAGTTAGACTAGGGGGCGCCAAAAGTAGGCAAGGGGTCTGGGGGGCCGCCTTGAGGCCCCCAGTGGGTCCAGGGCAAAGCCCAGGTGGGGGCCCAGGGTGCGAAGCCCACGGAAGCTCCTGGATTCTAGAGATTTTGTAGGGGGTAAAAATGATGTTTACCAAGTATACATATTTACATTTTCTAGACAAAACTGTGATTTACGTAAATTTTGACAATTTTAGGGGGGGGGGGGGGCGTTCGCCTACTAGCGCCCAACTGCAATTGCACATGCCCTTTAAATCCGCCACTGAAATTAACCAAAGCCCTTCCCTTAAATTGCCATATATCGTCGGAACCCTGGATGCACTAGCTGGTTTCTCTCTGTAATACAACTGGATGCATTCAAGAAAATTATACATTTAAGCTTGAGGTTTTTAAGCTTGTACGTGTTGTTTGTTACTTGTTTGATCTATTTGACTCTAACCTAAATAATTTTAAAATGTCAAAGTTACAGGTTTGAGAAAATTATTTTGCCTGGTAATATTCATATGGAGGCATTGTTAGATAGTGTAGAATCAAGTTTAATTATTCAAAACATGACCCTGGGAGGTATTTAGGGTTGGACCACAATGAATGATTAAATGAAAATCCTCCTCTCAAGAACAGGGAGGTCATGATGACTCAATTATTAATATAGAAGTATCCATTAGTATTATAGATAAGTTTGTTCATAAAATCAATTAACCTTAAGTTATTTTCAAATATGGTTGTTGCTTAGTTTCTCCATGGAAGAATTAATCTCAGAACAGTTCTAGTTTCATTGCTTAAAGTAGGAGAAGTAAGTAGAAATTCATTAAATGTTTCAGCATGAGTCAGAGAGGAGTGGCACCTCAGAGGAGGACCTTTGTGGTCGGAGTAGGGACCACCAAATTTGAGAAACCTCTCACCAAGGACTGGGACTATCCAGATATGGGGAGGGAAGCAGGTATTGATTCACATGCAAGCATTTTAGTTCGATTCTTGTCATACTATGACTTTGCATTGAGGTTATGCTGGTCTTCACTCATGTCTTAAACTGTTTTATAATTATTATATCCTATTCTCAGAATCTAAGAGAATTTTTTCTGATAACTCTTATGACCCTCTCATTTTTAATTGGTAAAAATTTCATTACTTTTGTGATACACAGAAATGTTATCTAATTCCATTTGCCTACTTTCAGGTCTTGCGGCCTTGACAGATGCCGAGATTGACTACCACCAGATACAGGCTGTTGTGGCCAGTTACTGTTATGGTGAGCCCACGTCCGGGCAGCGGGCCGTGTATGAACTGGGCCTCACTGGCGTGCCCGTCTTCAATGTCAACAATAACTGCTCCTCGGGATCCAGTGCCCTTATGTTGGCACGAAGGCTGGTTCAGAGTGGAACTGAGGACTGTGTACTTGCCTTAGGTAAAGGGTCAGAACTCAGCTCTTGTATATTTAGATACCTTATATTGGGCGTATTCAAATTTTTTTTCTCCATGAAATGCTTTGCATAAAAGTAATAGAACTGGTTTATGGAAAAATCAAATTAAAGGAGACCTGCTTTTCACCTTTTGAATGTAATAAAAAGAACAAGCTACTGTTGCATTATATGTAGACCAGCTGCATGTAAATTTTCTCTTGTGAATTTTCAATTTTCTTGTAAATTATGGAATTTTTTTTATACATTTAGGCTTTGAAAAAATGGAGAGAGGTTTATCTGAGAAATATACAGATAGAACCTCTCCTGTGAAACGTCATATGGACCACATGGTCAATATAGGTGCGGAGCCAGGTCTGATTCAACCAAGGATGAACAACATGACCTCAGACGTTGTCAAACTCTATGCATATGCTGCCAGGGAATACCTGAAGAAATATCCAAACACCACAGTAGATGACTTTGTAAACATTGCTTATAAAAATCACAAACAGAGTGTCAACAATCCATTTGCTACCATACAGAAAGAGATATCTAAGGAAGACATTAAATCCAAGCTGATGTTGTGTTATCCAATTACGTTCTGGATGTCTGCTCCAACAGCAGACGGCGGAGCTGCAGCTATCGTCTGCAGCGAGGAATTCATGGTCAAGAACAACTTACAGCGACAGGCGGTGGAAATCCTTTCTCAGCACATGGTGACTGATACTAGTGCCTCCTTTCAGGAGAGTTTCCTGGATTTATCTGGCTACCACATGGCTAAAGAGGCAGCCAGCAGGTGCTACAGAGACACTGGATTGTCTCCCTTGGACGTGGATGTTTTGGAAGTACATGACTGTTTCTCATGTAATGAGCTGTTCATGTACGAAGCCCTGCAGCTAGCCCCGGAGGGTAAAGGAGCAGAGCTGATAAGAAACGGTAAATGGGTGACAAACCGCAACAATGGACAGATTTGTGTGTTAAACAATAAATGGGTTGTGAATCCTTCTGGGGGACTGGAGTCCAAAGGTCATCCTATTGGTGCAACAGGTGAGTGAGGTTTACCAGGTAAAATTCATTAATTAAACAAAAACTTGACAACGAGCATTAGCTGAGATTTTAAAATTTTCATTTTTCTCCTATATTTGTATGCTGCAGGTATTATGTAATGATACACAAAATTTATTAGCCTTCAGATACGTCTTTAAAAAATCCTTTTATCTTTTAGAATACATGTGTAAATAATGTATATTAATTCATACATGTACCAGATGGAAAATTTTGCCCAATGGATCTTGTGACATTACACATAATAAGTTGTCAATGTAACTGTTAATTGATATGTATTTTTACCTCCCATCTCTTACTACGGTAAGTGCACATAGCAAATATTTATTTTCCACTACATGTCTAGTAAAATTAGTAATTTTTTTTGTTTAGGCATAGCACAGTGTGTTGAGCTAGTGAATCAGCTGAGGGGACTGGCTGATCAGAAACAAGTGGATGGGGCCAAAATAGCCATGCAGCACAACTTTGGTATAGGGGGCGCTGCAGTGGTCACCATGTACAAGAAATACCAGCCACTCCCAATGTCTGCCAAACTGTGAAAATATCAAAGCTGAAAACTACTCGTGCCTCTATGTATTGACCATTTTTATTTTAATTTTAAGCTCAATTTGTTTCATTTATGAGAGTTTTAATTTTAATGGATATAAATTATGAAATGGCTGTGATTTTCAACAGATTTCATTGTTTTTGTCACTATATGGCATAATTTTGGAGCATAATACATGTAAATTAAGGTATAACATTTAAATTACCTTGCTGATGACATCTGTCATACACTTCATAAATATATTTCTTAAACTACTACATTGAAGAATGCTGAAATTGTTTATGCTTTTTTGTTTGTTAGTAAATCAAAGTATTGCCCATACTTTACTTTGTAAAGGTGATTTACCGGTATTAACTGTTGCAGAGAAAGAGTACTTTTTCTAAATTGTACAAATAGGGTATTTATCAGAGTCATATTTTAATTGAACATTATTTTTATGTGATATGTTACCAAGTTAGCTCATCGTTAAACTATCGATATATCTGTTCAATTTTCCACTGGCAGATGAAATTATTTATTTGTTAAAGTACCCTATATATCACTGTTTAAAAATAAAAAGTTTTCTTTTTACAATTTGTAGGTTAATTTTTTTTAAACATTCCAAGGTTTAATTTTTTGAAAATAAATTAATCAGCGTTTTTTTTCCTCTTAATGCTGAGTCCTATAAATATTTAACTTTTTTATTGTGATACAGTGTATTTTATCATGCAGTTATCTTTCTGCAAGTCCTTTTCCGCTCATTTGTGTAATACAAGTAAATGGGCTATTAAATACATGTATTTTGTTAACATTTAAACAGTTGTAAAAGTAAACATGCACCAATTTAATAGGGCTAGGTAAATAATGTACATTAGTATTTAAAGAATATGTAAAATGATGATCTTGGGATGACAATCATAATTTGTTTATGCAGTTATAAATGGAACTTTATTTATTTACCTCACAGTAATGATTGATGCCTTGAGTGTTATATTTTACATAAATAATTACCGGTACATGTATTAATAAACTGCTACAATCATTGAAAAAAAATTCAATGAAATATATTTGTCTATATACATTGAATATATATTGAAATGAAAATCTGTCAATGTGGATCATCCCGGTAAAATCTGATTCAAATAAAATGATTATTTATTATGGCTTTGTAATTCATCGTCAGTTAATAGGGTCATTACAACCAAATTATTTCCCACCTACTTTTATTATAACTACTGTGGTTTCATCAATATTCATAGAGCACCAATTTTCGAGGATTTCGTTGTTGAACAGACCCATGAATTCAAATGCTTATTGAATTAAGAAATATCCTATTCATTTGTATAGGCAATGCTTTTATCCATGAAATTACGTTTCCTTGAAAACATCTGTTTAATAAAATCCACGAAAATTGATGCCCACGAAAATTGATGAAACCACAGTATAACATACTCCATGCAGACTTGTGAGTACATATATGGAGCAGCTACATTAAGAAAACAAAATATTTACTTCTCAGAGCCCCAGATGAATTTGTGGATGCCATTAAGTCAGATGTTTGTTTGTTTGTTTGTGTAGGTAGTAAGACATTTCTTCATAATAAGTTAATAGGAATGAAAATTGGATCAATGGTCAAAGGGAAATAACTCGAAAATGTTCCCAAATGGAAGAATGGTTTTGACTGCAGCAGAAGATCCAGTCTTTGTCACTTAAAATGTAGTCAACATCTTTGTCAGCAAGTGATAATTATTTCTGGGTAAAGTTTTTAAAAAAAAAATGAATACTTCATTTGGACTGAAAATATGGTAATTCTGAAGATGCAAAAATGTTTCTGTTCATTCTTCCCCAATCCAAATGCAGGGGTATTGTTCATTTTAAAATGACTGATTGTTTGAAAATTACTGTCTCATTCAGAAACTTCTTTACATATATTTCATTAATACAGATGCAAATTTTACTGCATCTTAATTGCATATGATCTAGTAGTTTGTAATCATCTAGATTTAGGATAATTTCAAAGGTCAAGGGCATTTCAATGAAATAAAATAAATTGCCAACACCATATCTCACTTGAGCTTTTCAAAAAAGCTCAGTTTCAAAGAAACTACCCAAGATATTTTCATCAAACTTCATAGGATGATAGATATTGATGAGAGCTATGCCACTGCATCAACATTTTTTGACATTGACCTTTCCTTTGACCTTGACCTCACTTTTCTTAAATGAGTGTTTAGCTCAGTTTGAAAGATACCATTCAAGAAAGTGTTATCAAACTTCATATGCTAATACTTACTGATGAGAGCTATTCAACTGCATCAACATTTGACCTTGACCTTTCCTTTGACCTTGATCTCACTTTTCTTGATTAAATGTTTAGCTCAGTTTTAAAGATACCATTCAAGATAGTGTTGTAAAACTTTATATGCTGATACATACTGATGAGAGCTTTTCAACTGCATCAACATTTTTTTTTACTTAGACCCTTCCTTTGACCTTGATCTCACTATTATCAAATTGTGATTATGTCAGTTTTAAAGAAACCATTAATATTTTTCAACTTCATATGCTGATACATACTGATGAGAGCTTTTCAACTGCATCAACATTTTTTTTACCTTGACCTTACCTTTGACCTTGACCTCACTTTTCTTAAATTAGTGTTAAACTTCATATGCTGATACATACTGGTGTAAGCAATTCGACTGCATCACTATTCAAGATATTCTGAAATTTCATACAATAACAGAATCGAATTTTCATGTTGCATTACTGATATCACCTCGGCGGGGCATTCATGTCCTATGGTTATATTTCTAGTTTTTAGCCGGGCTTATTGCTCAAAGAGCAATTGCCGGTTTATGTGATCCTGTTCAAGGCAGGATGTTGACCCCATAGTCGCCATTTTAAAGTTACGTGCGAAATATAGTTTTTTTTTACTCTCAACCGCTTTTGAGATAATACAAACGCTCAATAAAGCAACAAAAATAAAACGAAGTTTTATATATATAAAATAAACATTAGTAGTAATGACTTTGAAAACTTCATAAGTCAAAGAACATAGTTCATTAGCGTAAGGATTTTTGATAATCAGTGTTACCGTAGTTCTCTTCACATACGAGGTAAAGCAGGAGAGGGAACCAGACTGACCTGTTTGTTTACATTCAGCTGCGGTACCAGATTAATTCTGATTCTGACAAAATCTGACCGTGGTATAAGGATTGGAAAACTCACTGTCAGTGTCTTATCATTTATATTGATAGTTTTAAGATAATTTTTTCATCAGAATATAAACGTGATTCATGTAAGAAATCCATTCTACTCTGTAAATGAGCCCGGCTCTCTGTACTTCTGAGTACTTTGATTAATCTTGTTTTGGCGACTTTTGATGCACATTCAGACACCTCAAGGTTAAAGCTGAACACAACTTGTATATGGACAAATGCCATGTTAGTTTTCCTACCCCCTATTTTAGCAATGGTCATATAAATCCATTTCATATACATGTATTACACCTGACTGCTGGTCACTTTTGTTTGTAGTGCATGTATATCTGAAGTTGTCCTTTTATTTATTTCACTGAATGTGTGCATTCTTTATAATCCATTTTGTATTGCACTGACCTGAGTGCAATAATTGATATTGAATATTTTTGGTTATTATTTTTCATGATCTGTCAGACGCATACAGATATCATTTTTGTAGAGCCAAAGTCTATCATAATCATGATAATGGCAACAAAAGAGATGTTTATTCAGGTAAATACTATAAAGCAAAGTACACTGAACTCTGAACAAAGCTGATGTTATATAGGGGCTGGCAAATGACAATCTTGATACAACTAATATGGTAGACAAAGATAACTCTCTTCCTTTTTAGCATTGTGTTTAGCTTTTAATTAGGGTAACAGGAAGGAGCAGATGTCATAAATTTTATATGAATCAGAAATTAGAACATGTTTAACCTTGGGTATTTAATAAAGTGAAAGAAAGGAAGAAACATGTCTTGTTTTGTCATAAAAACACTTAATTCTCAAATCTTAATTATCTATATATCAATATTCCAATCTAGATTTAATTAAAAACAAATTATATGTAAAATACAAAAAACATACTGCATACAGTTAAAAAATTCACTGGCAGGAAATTAAATTAATTATTATACATAATACCTATATACATTTCACATATATTAATATTTATTCCGTCTTTTCTGAGATCTGTTGTGGTTGTTCATTATCAGTTACAGGTTCTGAGTCTTTGAGAGAATCTTTGGGAGATTGTTTCAGAGAGTCTTTAGATTTTAGTCTTGCTTTACAAGAAAATGTAAGAATAAAGCTGCTGACAGCCACCACAGTTAAGAGCATGCGTAATCCTCTAAACCAGGGGGGATATGACTCGGTCACCGCGTCGTGGCACCCGACTCCAGTCAGACCCAGCATAATGATGATCTGAGAAACAGGCTCAGGACACAAGAGGGCACTGAATGCCACCAGAGAAGGGACAATACTGATTGTCATATTCCTCATGTTGTCCCATTCTTTTGGAGTTGTCTTTCCCTCACAAACACCAAATCCCCATCTCACCCCACCCAGGAAAGACAAAATACAAGCTCCATATACCATCTGGGCATTTGCTAAGAATGCTACAGATGACTGTCCTATGATCATCATTAATCCTGGGGCACCCACAAAAGGAATAAGTCCTGATACCCCCAAAACCAATGCTGGGTAGGGGCAGTGTCTCAGACCAGTTATTCCTTCTAGCACTAGTCCTGTGTTACCTTTTCGGAAACCGCTGGTTACATTTTGAATTTTACTTGAAACATCATTAATTAGAGTTCTGAAACCTCTTCTGTTCTGTAAGACTATGTCATGTTGAGCTGCCTGTTGGGGTTTGGATACATTCCTTTGAATACTGCTGCCATTTGAAGTTATTCCCAGAGAAATTAGTCTGCTTCTACTGAGAAGGAGATTGGTGACTTGTCTATTCATAACTGCATATCCTCCCAGAATAGCCATGCCTCCAAACACAAACCTATTTAAATGTAAAATTATAAGTATTGTAAACATTGACTTAGAAATAAAAGTGACATTCATTGTGCAGTAGATTTTGCTCCTGGATCCTTGTTATTATTCAAAAGCGAATAGCGATTGTTTTAAAAAAAAGTTTAAAAGTGTGGCAGTTTTTCTTACCAAGGGCGCTAAGTCAAAATTGAATCTCAGCACAGCCTGCAGCTTCAGACTGCCTCCTCGGTTAGTTAAGAAATTTAAAAGTAAACCCAACGAGATCCTACTTTCACTTTTTTCAATGACAGAGGCCGCTTACAATATTAGAAAAAATGTAAAGAAACGAATAATACCCATCTAGACAGCTTTCAGATTATTTGGACGAATCTGATCATAAAAAATAAATTAGGTTTTTGTATTGATCTGAAAGTTACTTAACATTTAGATAAAATTAAAAATAAACATTTGTTGTTGATGTAAGCGGTTTCTGATTTCTAACATGGCGGCTTTTACAAAAACGTTGAAAAACAGTACTCCACCTAGAATGTGATTTTCCTGTGTCTTGGTGAGTAACAACTTACAGTTGCTATATACAAAATGTTCAGTAAATATTGTAATGTTAAAATGCCTCTGTTTTGTTACTATCTCTTCATAGTACGTATTGAAAGCAGGTTATTCAATCTTTACAGTCTTGCTTAGAAACATTTAGACCTAAACAAGTTGAGTTGAAATTGTGTGGTTACATTGTGTGGCCCTGATGAGGCATGACAAGTCTATCCCATGCAATATTTATTGTTATGTTTTTTCATTGTTCCCAAATAAAGTAAAGAAAATATTGTATTTTTGTTTAAAAGTGTTCAAAAGTGTCTAAGACAGACTGCAAGTGAAGAAATGTGGTCAGATGAGGATGGAAGCAGCAGGGATTCAGTTGTAGATTTGACAGACTCCCCACCTCTTCAAACCAAAAAGAGGAAGAGGGACATAGCGCCCACAAAGTCAATAAGCTTAACAAAAGTAAGTATACACTGTATTTCTAGTGGTCAGTAGTTGATAAGCATGTATCAAATATTTAGATACAGATAAACAGAAAGAGTTTTTAATTCAAATGTTTATTTCAAAAAGAAGACTTTGATAAAAAGTTGTGTATTTTATTTGATACATGTATCTGATTAAAGTGTCATGATTTGCAATGAGAAGTGGCTGGCAGGAGAAGAATGATAGAAATAAATGTAGCATCAGTCTAATGAAAATCAGATCCTTTGAACCGCTCACATAGATTGCTATAATTGTGTAGTGATCTGTGTGTTCAGATCAAAGGATCTGATTTTAATCAGATTGATGTAGTAAAAATATAAATGTGTGTGTGTGGTTTTTTTTTTTTTTAGAAAGCCAGTTCCTCCCAATGGGTGACTTCATCTTTTGGGGACTTTGAAGATTTTGGAAACTTGACTTCATCGTCAAAGCAAACAAAGACAAAACAATCCAAGCTGGTCACCAAGCCTCTCTCTCAGTGTCCAACAAGGTCAAGCCAGGTCAACAAAAGACCAACCTACGAAGATGAATTATGGTCCGACAAACATAGTCCTAAAAATCTGGTAATTTTGATAATTTTTTTGATAAAAAAGATTTTAAAGTGTCTGTTTTTGTATTCTTCACTTATTTGCATAATTATGCAGTTGCATTCTATTAAAAATTAAAAAAAAATTGTGTTTTATTAAGATTTTTCTGATTTATTTATTTAGTTAGATTTAGCTGTGCATAAAAAGAAGACAGAGGAACTGCAGACATGGCTCCAGAGACATCTGAAAACAAACTCTGTGGTATTTATATACTTGTATCAGAATGGGATCTACTATATAGAATTTACAGTGACTTAATTCTTTGTGTCCATCCATTTTCAGAAGCGTTTTGAGCAAAATAGTTCTTTGATTTTTTAGCCAATAATTATTATAAAATTACAGTGACTTAATTCTTTGTGTCCATCCATTTTCAAAAGCATGTTGAGCAAAATAGTTCTTTAATTTTTTAGCCAATTAAACAATGATCAAGTCTAACTGGTCTATAGATTTATCAACTGCCTTTAATTAAATTGCAACATAACAAGTTATTTCATCACATTAAAACATCATATACATGTATATATACACCAACAGTGTTTTCTTTTTATATATTTGACAAAAAAATGTCACTTCAAAATATTAAGTTTATCACCATGATCACATTTAACACTTAGGATTAATACTCAACCATATTAGAATGGTTATTAAATATAGTAAAATTATCATGATATATTAGACTATATACATGTGATCGACTGATTTTCAATCCTATGTATTTGCATTATTTTCCAGAGATCCCCTATGGTACTTTTGACTGGCCCCGCTGGTGCTGGTAAAACAGCTCTGGTGCAAGTGCTGGCCAAGGAACTGAATTGTGAACTGAAAGAGTGGACCAATCCTATAGCTGGCTCTTATGAAGAGTCTGTCTATGTCGACCAAAGAAATAACTGGTCAGGTATGACTTTTAAAAAATTTTAAAAATGATGCACATAACAGTGTTGTTTACAGCAATTACTTTTAATAAGTAAAATAATACAGAAAAAATTTCATGAAAGTGGCACAGATTTGCTTTGAAATTGACGTAAATTTTATTGATTTTGAGGATAAAAAGCATAGCAAAAACTGTTTTGGTCTTCCACGTTACTTTGTAATATTCCTAGTTTTTGAGATATTGGTGTTCGAGATTAGGTTCAATTGTAATTTCCTTTTGATAAATATTGAACTATTATATCAAGTGGTTATTGAAATATTCTTGATAAGTTACAAATGATGTGTTTTTAACAAAAAAGTAAATAATTTTATTTCCAGATTACTCTAAAGTAGAAGGCAGCTACTCTGGTTCTCAGCTCTCCAAGTTCCAGCAGTTTCTACTGAGGGCAGACAAATATAATTCTCTGGATATATTTGGAAGTGTGTCACAGAAGAAAATCATCCTTGTAGAAGTAATTTCTTTTAAAGAATACTTCACATCGTATGTTCAATTGTTGCCTTGATTTCAATAACAAAAGCTATGGAAGTGTGTATTAAAGAATTACAGGCATAAAGAATTCAACATGAAGTTTGCCTCCTTATTGTGAGATTCTAAATACTGGTAGATATAGATGCAGTTGAAAAATATTCTACAGTATACATGAAAAAATTATTCTACAGTGTACATAAAAAGTTCCTTAGAACAAAGATTTCCTCACATGTGAAATTTTGATAACTAAGTTTTACTGTCTATGCATAGAAAACTTTGAAAATAAGTAAAAAAGAAAGAGAAATTAAACAATTAAAAAAAGAAATGTGTGGATATTTTGATAGAGATTTGAAATAAATACATTGTGTTTCTACATTATTAATGAAATGTAATTTATGTACTTTTTTTCAGGAATTCCCAAACACTGTTTACAAAGATGCTGCATCTTTTCATGACATTCTGAGGTAAATTTATGATTACAAAAGATTGTAAGAAAGAGGAGTCATTAACATGTAAATGCTGCTTTTGATAGTAATACTTGTGCATATCACTTTGCTATTGTGTCTTCTTTTCTGGTGTTTATGATATTAGCAGGTGAAAAGCAATTTATATTGATGTATTAATTCATGAAAATTTGTGCTTTTATTGTACATGTATATTAGTGTGGCTCCCATCCTTGTGTTTGTGATACATGCATATTAAAGCAAGTAAAATGCAAATTGTACTGAATCAGCTATAATTGGAAACATTTTTTTTTATTGTTTTACAGAAAATACTCTAAAATTGGGAAATGCCCTCTCATATTTATCATAAGTGATTCCAGCAATGGAGAGTCTAATGAGAGACTTTTGTTTCCTAAACACTTACAGGAAGAACTTCACATAGAAAATATCAGGTCAGTTTATAATGAAGCAATGGGGCATTTATTGAAATGCAAACACATATCAAATTGTTTTCAAATCACAGTATTATAATCTTTGTAATGGACATATTCATTTAATAAAATGTATGTAGTGTGTTCACTCACTGTAATTTGCTTTTTTTGCAAGAACTTTATTCACACATAAGTTTGTGGCTCAACTTGCTTGCAAAAATGTGAAAATAAGGTGTCATGAAAATTTAGTCATCTACATTATTGAAAGTGAAAAGAAAATATCAGATATTTATCATTTTATGTAGGTCAGCAATATAAAGGTTTAATTTGAAATGGCTTTTAGTGATTAATTACTAATCCAGTTACTTGAACTTCACTTTGTAGCTTCAACCCCATAGCAGCAACAACAATGCTCAAGGTGTTGACCAAAATAGCAACAGATGAAGCTGCCCATGTAATTATTATTCCTGACTCAAAAAAAATAAAACTTCACTTCTGATGACTGTAATTTTTATTTGCATAAAATGATTTACCAAAGAAGTTTACGTTGCAGGGTATGCATAAATTTTCCATCCCATCTAAGGCTGTGATAGAATCCATTTCCATGTCCAGTGCTGGGGACATCAGAGGAGCTATTAATGCTCTACAGTTCGCTTGTCTTAAAGGTTACTATTTATAACCATTATATTTTTAAAATTCATATGACCTATATTCTGAATGGTCAACTAGTAATGAAAATAGAAAACTAATGTTAATAGCTCACCTTAACAAAGTGAGAGTCAGCGTAATAATCCACTGACAAAAGAGTGGACTGACTTGTTGGTAAATATAACATTTGCTTTATTAAATTTTATTTTTTAAGATTTTATATTTGAAAATCTTGAACATTATTTATTTGATTTTGTTTAAAAAGTATTTTCTTGCTTATCTCCCATAGATACACATGACTTGGTTCTTCCAACCGCATCTAAAGGGAAACAACCCAAGAGTAAAACAACAAAGAAGTCTAACAGGAAAACGGAAAACAAGAGTTCCACTGATCCAGACTCCTCTTTAGCAGCCATTGGAGGCAGGGATACATCCCTCTTCCTCTTCAGGGCTCTGGGCAAAATCCTGTATT